AGATTGGCACACACGGTTAAGAATTCCTTTAATAGTTGTGCAAAATAAAGTAGATCGTGGACCATCAATGCCCTGTCTAGTAAGAAAAAATGAACCTCAGCACCAAGAACAAAACCTGAGACCAAGAGAGGCGAAGATCTCATCAAAGTAAAAACGTGACTCATTCGCCTCTTCCTCTTTAAAACAGGACACCATCTAGAAAGAAGATGTCAGCTGTAGTGGGATGATCCCATACACCACGAACTTAACTGTGACAGTCGGGTGCATTTGTGATGGCAACTACAATGGCTAATAAATGTGCACTCTCTGTTTGTGGAGCCAGAGAGTATTACAAAGGTAAGGGAGCTCTCTGTGGTCCTCAAACTGTGCTCTAGAAAAACAAGGATTCAGAGAATGTTCTAGGCCACTGCCAGGCTCCGGGGGTCAGTCTTCCAAGAAGACAGGTTCCCACTCCTCAGCTCCACATCCACCTCATCATCTCTCCTTTGGTTTATTTTATGTGTCATGCTCCAGTCCTGTGAACAGGGCCCAACACATAGCTGGTACTCAGTAAATGTTGAATGACAGAAATTGAGATTCTACCTAAGATTACGTATTTAAAGGACCACAGCTAAAAGGAAGGGAGGAAAGGAGGAAAGGAGGAAGGGAGGAAGGAAGGAAGGGAGGGAGGAAGGAAGGAAGGAAGGAAGGAAGGAAGGAAGGAAGAGAGGAAGGAAGAGAGGAAGGAAGGAAGGGAGGAAGGAAGGAAGTTTGAAACACCCTGATGGGGTTCAGCACCTAAGGGGTGAAGTAGCTTGCCCAGAGTTACAGCAAGTTACTGGCTGAATCAAGCCCCGACCTCCTGATGGTCTTTATGACACACTTGGCTGCCCTGCACCCTCCCTTCACAGAGTTACAGCTCATGTAATTACGATGCTGTGTCACCCAGTTCTGCTTACAAAGCTCCAGGCTTTCCTCTGTCTCAGTCTTCCAAACCTTGACTCAAACAGTTTGTAATGGAATTACAGTCAGTGACGCGTTAAGTTAGTAGCCAAAGAAAATACCTAAATACCGTTTTATATGTGATGGCTGGTTGAGGACCACAAGTCATAAACCTTTCTCCTTAAATGAAGCAGGAGATGCTGAACACCAAAACCATGGTTTGGCTGCCTTTCTCTTGTTTCAGCTTCTTTTATCTCATGATTCTTGTAGTTGTGGAAGCAAAGGGCTAAATCCCCTAAAACAGGGCCTGTTAGGGATGTTTCCCCTCTGACTCAAACAGGAAATACCAGAAAGGTCATGAGGGAGCTGGTTCCTGAGAGATTTTTAGCCGGGGTTACAAACCCCAGAGAATGCAGTGTGTTAGATAATATTCAGAAGAAAAACGGCACTGAATTGTAGGGGTTACCAGATAAGTCCCTTCCAAGTAATCTATTACTAATACTTGGATTTTGTTTAAAACTTTTTCACAGTAAATCCGTTATCTATCATCCTTTTGTGTATTTTTTTTCTTTAACTGTAGCCTTGTCTTAATTAGGAATTAGTTCTTACTGGAAGATCTGTAAGTTATCAATCACCATTATACCAATGCAATATTAGTCCTTAATTTCCAGAATTGCTAATAGTGTAATTAGTAATCCACACTAAATGTGTTTCTCTTTGGTCACACCTAAAGCTAGCACAATGCCAAGGCATTAGCAAACAGTGGGCTTGAATGACTCTAAGAGAATCTGGAAGTATAAGAAAGAAAAAGCTATCACCACTTTCTTAAAACTAAAAACTAAGCATGTTTTTTAGATGCTGGAAGCTTTGAATATACCCTTAATTCTGCACAATCAAATGTAATTCTAAAAATTTTATTCGTGCTAGAAATAGTAATTTTAAATGGTGCCTTCCAGATTTCTAAATATTCTAAATAAAATTAATTACCCTAGTCTGCAGTTTAAATTACAAGAACATAATTTGAAATAAAAACAGTAGTAAGTATAAATGGGAACCTAAAAGAAGTGAGCTTTGGTATTTTGGAACATGGGGCAACAAGTGTTTATCCAGGTATACACTTCACTAGTGTTCTCACCAAATTACTCTTGATCATGGATTGTGTATCTTGGCTAAACCGCTTTTGAGAAAAAGGAAACTCCACTTCATGTCTGGACCCAGTTCTGCAGTGTAATGCGTTAGTCCAGAGCGCACCAGTGTTGACCTCGCCCAGTGCTGAAAGTTAAAATTATGCTGTTAAGATCGCAGCAGAAACTTCTGAAATTGCTTAGTAGGTGATTCACTTGCTTCCCTTTTTCTCTCAGCAGGAATGAATACTGCTTTTTGCAAGCTGTTCTCTGAGTTTTTATTAAATACCAACAAAAGCGCAACAGTATGAGACAGTGCTTCAAACATAATCACTGCCGTTAGCTACAGTGAACAACCACCAAGGGCTAGACCTTGGTTTCAACCGACGGCAGGTCTTCAAGTAATCTTGATGCAGAGCAGATTGTATGGAAGGCGTGTCACCCGTCTCACTGAAAATTAATATACTTTACCTCTCTAGGACCACCTCCACACACAAGACTGCTTGTTTTTCACAAGATTATGTGTACTGAAGGAATTCTAAATCCGTCTGCTAGAGCAGTTTCTAAATACCGATTAACGTAGCATTCAGACAACATCCTCCTGTTATGGCTGTAACACTGACCAAGGCAGAGTCCAACGCTCGGACAACCTCACCCCGTGAGGATGAAGGGAACCTCTGGGGAGAAGACGCAGATTTAAGAGTAAATGGGTGATTCCAACAAATGGAACAAGTTGCCCAGTTGTGGTTCTAAGAAGAGGGAGGGGTAAGTGAGTATTAACTTTGTCCTCAGGACAATGAGGTCATTGAAAGGACTCGAGTAAGAAAGGATAGCCACATCTGCATTTAGGAAGATGATTCTGGAGGCGGTACAAGGAATGATGCCTCTCAGCCATTAGAAAGCAGCTGGAAGGGAGAGAATGATTCAGCGAAACAAAGGTGGTGATGGAGGAAGATACTAAGAATGAGATCATTTAAAACAAAGGTGCATGGAATTGACAGAGCCTCAGACTGTCTGGACATCAGGGTGATAGAGAAGGAAGATTCAAGGACGGTGCTTCCTGACATTTCCTGGGTTATCATGCAGATGGTGGTGCCATCCAGTGAGAGAGTGAGTATCGGAGAAAGAGCAAATGCGTGCAGCAGGAAGTTGATCAGCTGATCAAAAAAGCAGTACAAAGTGAGACTTACTAGAAGCACCTTTAGAAAATATAGGTAGGATTTAGAGAAATGGCCAAGTCGTTATTACTGTTACAACAGAATGCATTCATAGTTAATTATCATAGTAATTATAGCCAATTTCATAAGAGCAAAGCTTTTTCATAATATTGTTTCCCTCATCCTCACTTTTTGCTCATTTCTCATCATCTCAATACTAATCGTTGGTCGTAATGATCTTTCCATCAGACCTTCAGATCCTCAAATCTCTAACATAATTAACGCGTTCAGATATGAAGAAAAACATCATACATTCTGGCGTCTAAAGTAGTTCATGTAAATTCATGTAAATAAGAGTTGTCTAATGAACACATTTCTTGTCTTATGCCTTCATATCCCACGGAGTCTTCCTGTCTTGGTAGTTAACACTGGACTACCGGTTACAGAGACAGAGGGATTATTGAATGAGGTTTTAGAAAGAAACCAGGTCCTGTGAACATCAGTCATTACTGGCATCGTGTGTAAGCACAGCGCTGAGTTCTGGGGAGAAGTGAGATGTAAGAAGTGACCCCTAAATAGAGTCCACCACATGTCTCCAGGTCAGGAGAATAGATACACGGATGGACGGATGGCGGATGCATGGATGGATGGATAAACAGACAGATAGATAGATAGATAGATAGATAGATAGATAGATAGATAGATAGACAAAGTGACTTTTTGACTGCCTAAAGTCACATGGTGATATAGAACACACATATCATTGAATTAGAGAAAAAACGAGTTCTCTCTTATAGGAGTTTTTTCCACTCTGCCACCCACCCTGAGAAATTTTAAAATATACATAAAGAATGTATTCAACTTAAATGGTATACATATACAGACTGTTTGTTATGTAACAAAGAGATGCTTCCGGGGGAGTAAGAAAAGGAAGAGAGGAGACACGATTCCTGTACCCATTGCAAATTCAGCTCAGCTGATTAGAACAGAGACCCCGCGACGGCTGGCAATCTCACGCACACGTGGTCCACATGTAGGAGGGATGTGTACTTAGGAGTAAGCCCCAGCGAGAACGTCAAATCCTCTTTCCTGCCCTTGTACCAGTGTCATGGCCCCTTGCTGGTGGCGTTCATCCTTGTTGCTAAATTATAGTTACTGTGTTTCCTTTTCTGTTTTCTCGATTTCATCTGACTCTGTTACTTGAATGTAAGACCTGCAAACCAGGAACCAGATCTGTCTTTTTTCCCTGATGTCCCTGAGACCTAGCACAGAGTGTAACACTTGGTAACATATATACTTGTTGAAAAATACTAATCTCATAGGATTTTGACATTAAAATAAAGACTTGACATTCTTTCACAGGGAATCATGGTTATTCCATATTAATCACTTTGCTTTCAGCTTTTTTGTTGTTTTGTTTCTTGTTCTTATTTAAGTAGAGTTGATTTACAATGTTGTGTTAGTTTCTGGTGTACAGCATAATGATTCGGTTATACACATACAGATTCTTTTTCTTATTCTTTTTCATTATAGGTTATTACAAGATATTGAACATAGTTCCCTGTGTGCTTTCAACTTCTTATAAATTAATCTCATGCTCACTAAGAAGGCAGGGCCAACAAATCTATAGCTCCCCAGGTTTTTTCTTCAGTCTTCCTGCATCCCAGGATCTTCAGTGGTATAAGTTGCATTTTATTAGTCTTTATCCTTTCAAAGGTTGTTACAGCATCTGACACATAATAGGTGTGTAATAAATATTTATTTTTAAAAGAAGAAAAAAGGAAAGATAGCCAGGGAGGTTTTTGGTTGTACTTCATTAATAGAGGCAATGATTAGAGGAAAAGTACTTTTTATTTCAGTGGTCTACTGATGACTTTAAAATTAATAGTTATAAATAACATTTAATAATAATCTGCCATTATTAAACATTTAATATTTGTTACTTATACACTGATTTTATTGTTTATTATTTATATATTTATTATTAAACACTTAATAACGGTTGGTCATCAGTCCTAAGCTTTTACTTCCGGTAGGTTTTTACCGACGTGTATTTGGAAAAATGTATACGCTCAGGGATTATGAAAAAAACTGCCGACATGTCTTACAGTTAAATCAACAGGCACATCATGGAAGATCGTGTTCTACTTCCTCTTATTTTATTCTGAAAGAAGTGACAGTTCTTAGTATCTAAATACCTTTCACGTTATTTCCAGGACCAAGTTTAGCTGTTTTACAATGTTTATCCTCAGTCCTTCATCACCTTTTGTCACTAAGCTGTTTGAAAGCGTGTTAGATGGTGAGCGGTAATCTGGCTCCCTCACGCCTAAGCCTGCAGTGTCTCACCTGTCTCGGAAGTGAGGTGTTGAATGAGAATATCAGCCCTGAGTGTTGTCAGCTCTGGGGAGTTGGTCCCTCTCTGTCTGTACCGTGTGCCAACTCAGGCTGAACACACTGATCGTAACATACGTCTTGAGAAGGAATTCTAGGGAAACACAGGGATCTCCTTGACTTAAACCCTTAGCGCACCCAAGTACAGGAGCAATGATGGAACAATCATCCTAGATACATCTATTGCATGATAAATGAGAGTACACCCACTTTTACGCTGACGGATTTCAAAGAAATTGACAAAAATCTATGATAAGAACCAATTTACCAAGAACAGATCTTTTAAACTGAAAGCTGCATAGACTTCATATTTTAATGAATTCATGTGAATGAAGAGATTTGTAAGTTGTAAATCAAAGTTATACTTATTTTTAATATTCTTCTCTGACTGTTAAAGATAAATTTAAGCATGTACATATTTATATAGTTGCAGCAGAAATGTACAGTGTGCCGTAATCCTAAGCAGTATTCTGGAAGCTAAAGACATGATCTACTCTATTTAATGAATAGCAGTCCATTACAGTTTTTCCTTTGGAAAAATATGATGTGTAAATCAACTAATATGTTAATGATTGTTTATTTTTACCTAAGATATTTCGGTGGCAACTGGATCTGTATCAATCTAGTGTATAGTAGCTTAAATTGAAGCAAATTAAATTACTTTAGTTGGGGTGAGTTAGGCCAGGATAAGTATGTGCTGGTGGGGTGGATATTTGTCTCATGGGTAAAGGAGGAAACTTTCTCCTCCTAAGTAATGATTTGGGCTCAAAGTCAACAGATAAGAGGAAGTCACAACATGCTAACCTGCAAAAGGCATGTCACAGAATACGAAACAGCAAACAGAAACCTGGAAATTAAACTATTTCCCCAAAGCCAGACCGAGTAGAAGCAAACTGCCAGAGCTCTTCCCTGTATGACCTTTTCCTCGGTGGTATCCAGGGAAGAGGGCGGGCCTTCTGAGGGCCACTGCAGAGGGAGCGCTGGTGGATTGTCTGCTGGGGCAGCGCACATCACCTTTGGAGCTAACGCGTGGGGATCTTGTCACTGTGCAGATTCCGGTTTTGTAGATCTGAGATGAGGCCTTACGTCCTGCATTTTAAGAAATCTTCTGTGGAACACGCTTCAAGGGCCATCTTCTAGGTGAAAGGAAATTCTCTTTCTTTTTTTTTACAAGTTTCCATCAGTTCCCCAGCTCACTTACCTCAGAGCAGCAGGTCAGTAAAGGCACAGCTTCACGACAGCCTGAGCACAGATAAACCTTTGAAAAGAGGAATTAGATTGACTTCAAAGGAATTGCTAAGAAGAGAATGGACATTTATTTAAAAAACCAAAGTGCACTCATTCAGACTAAAATAAAAGGATAACCTACCTTTTCAGTGAAACTGCCCAGCAAAAAGTAGCCATCACATTCTTTGAGAAGGAAAATAAGGCTGCACCTCGGGTCTACTCTCAATCTTCTTAAGTTTCTGCACAGTCCGTTTGAGAGGAACATTATGTAGAAACTTCCAGCCTGAACCTTCCTCCTCCTCCCCCTTCCCTAAGAGTCTAATGTTCGCGTTTTCTGCAAAGGGAATTTTTGTATTCTGTGGTCGGCCAGGATTAAAAGCTTACTCAGGCCAGAAACATGCTAAGATGAAACACAGTTGTAACTGAGCAAATCCTTCCCCAAAGCCGTATTCAAGAAGAAATGAATATCAGAAATGTTTAATCCGTACCTTTTCCATTTGATGGCCTTTGCAAATTCTTGCTACTTTTAATACAAAACTAATATTCATTGGGCTACACTGTTTTTCAAAATATGTGCCTATAATCGATTGTCAAATCCTCTTCGAGTCTGTATGGGCCAGTGTTGGGCTCCTTGAATTTCAGCAGCTATATAGTGAAGGACTAGGTAGATAATTTAATTTGGGACTAATGAAATGAAATATATTTCCTCAAACAAGTTAAAAGCCTGATGTTCTAACAATTGTTATATGAAAATACTTTTATTTAAATAACTATAGCAAAAGTAGCTTGTATTCAGTAAAGAGAAATCACAGATTTGAACTGTATGTGTAAATTTCATTAAAAATTTTATTTTTGCTCCATTATCTTATAAGTCTATACTTTTAACGGAGGGAAAGTCACAGAATGTCTCTATACACTGGCCTTTTCAATTTACATGAACTGTATTCAAAATTCAGAAGAATAGCAGGAAATCCTAATAGATTTAGCACTTGGAGTCTAGGAAAACAGACACATTTGGTAATAACTCCTATATACCCTAATGTCTGAGCAGGCATCAAACAGTTTACTTCGGTTAAGTAATTAGAAATCTATTACATTAGGGTATTTTGGAAATGGGAAATTAAGAATCCTTTTCTTTGCAAGTGGTTATAAAAGGCAAGGAGTTGATTGCTGTTGATTAAAGAATCTGTTACGAGAAGTAGTTTCTCCTTTCTCCCAAAAAGTTGCATTTTTCCCAAAGAGATACTGCAGGCAACAAAAGCAACTTAGGTAGACTTTAACTTGAGACATGAATCTTACACATTAACAGCCAAGAGCTTTAAAAGTCGCATGCAATCCCATAAAAACAATACTGATTTCATTAACTTTGACATAAATGTCAAACTTGATAAACACAAGTTTAAAAGATCTATACAAAAGATATATGTCCATACAGTAGCTTCCCCCACTTATCTGTGGTGCTGCTCTATGAGGATTCAGTTACCCTCTGTCAGCTGCAGTCCAAAGACACTAAAGGGGAAATTCCAAAAGTAAACAATGCATAAGTTTTAAATTGCGTGTCTGTTCTGAGTCGCCTGATAAAATCTCTCTCCATCCAGCTCTGACCTGCCTGGGATCCCCAACCACGGACATCGTCTGCTCCTGACACCCAGCCATCCACTCCGTCATTGCTGATGATCCAGGGTCACTGGGAGCAGATGATTCTCCTGATGTGTCATCAGAAGGTCCACACTAGCCCAATGCTAAATCGCAACGCCTGTGTCATCCACCTCACTTCCTCTCCCATCATCGCGAGAAGAAGGGTGAGTACCAAACAGTAAGACCTTATGAGAGAGAAAGGTGACATTCACATAACTTTCATTACAGTATTTGTTCTAATTGTCCTATTATATTAGTTATCGCCGTTTGTCTCTTTGCCTACTTTATCAAAGATGTGTGTCTCTATGTACAGCTTGGTACTATCTGAGGTTTCAGGCATTCACTAGAGGTCTTGGAATGCACCCCAAGCGGAAAGGGAGGGACCACTGTACCCAAAAAAAGTAGACAAAAGATGTATAGCTCTATTTGCCAGAACAACCTTTCAAGTGAGGGAGTTTGTTATGATTGAAGACAATGGCCATTGTAAGGAGAGGTAAATTCGCAGATTATATATTGTAGTTCTGTTTATAGTCTTCAGTTTCTCAGGCAAATAGTTTAATAAAAGCTTCTACCTTAATGACAATTGAGCCAAAAAAGATACATGTCTATACAAAAGATCAGAAAGTCTGTACTTTCTTTTTTCATTTATTCATTTTTAAAATTTTTATTCTTACACAATGTTTAAACGTTACTCTCCATTTACAGTTATTACAAAATTTTGGCTGTATTCCCCGTGTTGTACAATACATCCTTGAGCCTGTCTTACACCCAGTAGTCTGTACCTCCCACTCCCCCACCCCTGTTTGCCCCTCCTCCCTCCCCACTGGTAGCCACTAGTTTGCTCCCTACATCTGTGAGCCTGCTTCTTTTATGTTACAGTTACTAGTTTGTTGTATTTTTTAGATTCCACATATAAGCAATGTCATACAGTATTTGTTTTTCTCTGACTTATATTTCACTTAGCATAATGTCCTCCAAGTCCATCCATGTTGCTACAAATGGCAAAACTCCATTTTTTATGGCTGAGTACTAGTCGATTGTGTGCATAGATAGATATATGTGCACCACATCTTGTTTATCCAGTCATCTGTTGATGGACGCAGGTTGTTTCCATATCTTGGCAATTATAAATAATGCTGCTGTGAACATTGGGGTGCATGTGTCTTCTGATATCAGATGTTTTCCAAAATTTTGAAGTAGACTAAAAATTACCATCATATCTGTTTTAAGATTTTCTGTTCAGGCATAACTATCCATAGAGAAAATATAAAATGAATAAGATATATTGTCTCAGTTATCAGTTACTACATAACAAACCACCACAAATCAAGTGACTTAAAGCAACAATTGTTTTATTTGCTTGGAATTATATGGGTCAGTAATTTGACCTAGCTCAGCTGGCAGGTTCCCTCCCCCCAGTTTTATTGAGATATAATTAGCATATGACATTTTTGCCTGCAAAACTCCTGAACTTCAGATAAAAGCAGTAGAATTCTGTAGCGTCAACAATAACAAGAAAACAGAACATAAGGCCCTCCCATCACACCACACACAGAAACTCCCTGTATGTGAATCATAGACCTAAATGTAAGAATTTTGAAAAGTAAAAAAATTTAAAATAAATACATACAAGAAAAAGGCAAACCACATACTGGGGAAAATATTTGCAAAGCACATATTTCATAAAGGAGTTATGTCAGAATAAAGAGCCCTAAAAATTCAATAATAAGAAAACAAATAAAAAATGAGGAAAGATTTGAATAGACCGTAAGTTCTGAAAAAAAAGAAAAGAAAGGAAAAGAGATCAGATTTGTGGTTACCAGAGATGAGCAGTGAGGTAGGGGGTATTGGATGAAGGCAGTCAAAAGGTACTTCCATTTATAACATAGATAAGTACCAGGGATGCGTGTACAATGTAATAAATAATAATTAACATACTATATGCTTTATGTGCAAGTTAAGAGAGTAAATCCGAAGAGTCCTAATGACAAGAAAAACTTTGTTTCTGTTTCTTTAATTTTGTATCTGTGTGAGATGAGATGATGGATGTTCACTAAACTGATTGTGATGATCATTTCCTGATGCCTGTAAGCCAAACCATTATGCTGTGCAACCCGAAGCTTACACAGTGCTCTATGTCTATTGTATTGCAATAAGACTGGAAGAAAAAAAACTATAAAATTTCAAGAATAAAACATAAGAGACAACACCGTGCTCTTTGGTTGAGCAAAAAATTCTTAGACAAATGCCAAAAGCAAATCCATTTTTTCAAAAACTTGATAAATTGGACTTCATCAAAAATTTTAAAAGACACTATTCAGAAAGGCAAGCCTCAGACTAAGAGAAAATATTTGTGAATTATGTATCTGGTAAAGGACTAGTTTGTGAAATATATAAAAATACAACTCGATAATAAGACGAAAAACAATTAAATATGGGCAAAAGATTTGAAGAGACATTTCATCAAAATCATATACCAAGCACATGAAAAGAATGCTTAGGGGAAAAAAGAATGCTCAGCATCATTACTCTTCAGGGAAATGAAAATTAAAGCAGCAATGAGATACCATTACATACCCTCTTGAATGGAATAACGGATGGACAGTAGGTTGTGTAGAACCTGGAACCCTTGAACACTGCTGGTGGGGATGTAAGAAGGTGCAGCCCCTTTGGAACAGAGTTTGGCAGTTGCACAGAATGTTAAACCTGTACCACACAACTTGGAAATTCCTCCCTGTCTATTCAGGAAAACGCTAGCGTGTGTCCATGTAGACATCACATGCTCACTACTTGTAGAAGCTGTCTTTATCCATATGGTATAATCTCACAAATATAGTGGCTAACCTGGTTTTAGCAAATGTGGGAAAATTAAAACACAGATTTCTAGTTTTTAAAGTATCATTTAATTTAATTAACTGTTGCTACATTGAAAAAATACCGAATAGGAACTACATGTGTTGTACATCTGCATAAGTTTGTCAGTCAAACAGAAGGAATTACTGTCCTCTGCACTTCATACTGTATTTTTTTTTCATGTATCTATATTGATGAAATGACCAAATAGAGAAAGCCAGACTAGGAAGTGCAGCAGGGAAAAAGGGCTGGGGACGCAGCTGCCAGCAGGTGCGAGGGCTGAGGTGGACAGCACACGTGGAAGGCGGGGTCTTTCATGGGAGGGACGACGCCTTCAGTTGAAGGGAAGGACAGCAAGGGTCCTGTTGCACAGAGGTCCGTGGTTGGTGGTAGGAAAGGTGAGGGAGGAGTCGCCTGGTGGTTTCTGGTGTCTTCTAAATGGTTTTCTTTCTAATGCTTTATTTTCTAATGCTGTTTTGATTTCAAGGATGTATGAAAAGAGGTCATTAGATGGAAACATGAGTTGGAGAGCGTTTCGAGAGAAGGAAGATGACATGAAAAGTCATCTGTGATAGTGGGAAGGGGCACTTGAAAGAGAAACTAAGCAGCAGGTGTTTTGCTGTAGTGTTGGGGCCCCTTCAAAGGTTGTGTTTGTGAAAGTTCTCCAGAATCGCACGCTGGGCGCTGTCCCTATGCAGAGCGGCTGCAGACGCCGTCAGGGACAGACTCAGTCACCATGAAAAGCAGGAGGGTGGGCTGACTCAGGAAAGGAAGGGGGATGCTGTTCAGAGAGTTCCCGGACTATTTTGGAGAGGCATCTAGAGACTGGACAGGTTGGGATTGAGCAAGAGAGAACAGGTCACTATTTAGCTGTGGAAATCCTGTCGTATTCCCCAGGCTGAAGTGGACTGGGGGTCGGGGTGGGGCCGGTCACCTTTGACAGTTAAGAGTGTGACATTCTATAGCTGTTTGCACTGTTCCTGTTTCATCAGAAGGTGGTGAGTCATGAGGCCAGGGCTGGAATAAGGGAGGGTCTGCCTTCCAGTATGTGGTTTGGTTGGGTTTGATCTGACGGTGATGTATTGCCTAAGATCGTTATTTTGAATCGTTTGTTATTTTTAACTTTTGCTTTTCCTTCGGAACATAAATACTGAATGTTTACCATCTTACCAAAGAAGATCCAATCTATGGCGCTGTTATCTGACTCTCCAACCTAAATTAAATGTAATTTGAGAAATTCTGTGTCTCCTATAGGAGATTACAGAATGGCCTTATTCAGCTTCACCAACTTAGAAAAGACCTCAGAAAGAAAAAGCATATTTTTTACTTACTAATTTTCCCAAATCTGAATTCTAAGAGACTTCCTTAACTTGGACAATTCTCCGTCCTGGTTCTAAACAATAAAATTTTGCCATTCTCTGTATTATGAGTGCTATCCTCAAAAAAGCTGACAAATTCCAGGAGAAAGAGGGCCTCATTTTATCAGTGCTTAAATATTTAGTTCAATAGCCAAAAACCTCGAAGGAGTGCTTCAGGAAGATATTAAAACTTGAAACCCAGAGTTTGCTTTGAACATTATTTATCCACTGAGAAGCCATTTTCAATAAACTCTAAGGATACTTAAATCAACAAATACTTATCAACTGTTGTAATTGGGCACCGGGTCCTGATCATGTCACTGGCATTGCTAACAGACCACGTGCTGCTACTCACTGTCTTTCCCCGAAATTTACTCTACAGAAAAAAAAAAAACGTACAGGATCCCTTGTAAGACCTTTTAAAATTTAAAATTCCCTCAGGAAGCAGCTGTGAGCACAGGTGATCATTGAAGCTGGTTGTAAGTTCGCTTGTCATTTGTCCGTGGAGTTTATTTTCACTCTGTTAGTTTTTCAGGCTAATGGAAAAATGACCAGTGACTGTGCATGTGGTCCCAGGGAAAATCTCTGGAAGAAATAGAAGGCAACCTCTAATGTCATAACTCAGCAGCATAACCGTCACCAGCAGCTGAAATACACCAGTAGGGCTTCGAATCCTGAAGAGTCAGTTCTTAAATCCCAGAATGTTCTTGAAATCCAAAATGGATGAACAACTTAATTTTACATCTTCATTTTTGAGTTTAAATTTCACTACAAGCCAGTCACTTTAAAGTTTTTGGAAAATCACTTGCCTAGTTAAAGAATTATTTCGAAGGAAAAAAATTAAGGTCGGTTAGGGTCAGTCCTTTATAGCATGTTTATAGGCTTCATACTAAAATACCTTTAACTACATCCTCCAGGGTCACCAATAATCACAGTCCCCTTAAATTGCTAGAAAATCCTTATAAACATTTATATATTCCAGAAAAGATCTGGTGTTATTTTTAGCCAAATAGATTTCTATCCAAATATGCAATCAAGTAAATTATTTGCATATTTGATTTAATGTTTTTTAAATAAAAAAAACAAGTAAAACTGTATGTGTATACAAGCCAGTCTTCA